TCAACAGACTTAATTGCCTCAAGCTCAAGGCACTCTGTGAAAAATTTTTTTTTACAAAGAGATCCATCGGTGGCATATTAATGACGTTTGTACCCTCCCAACATTGGGTGTTTGTAGCTCGCCTCTTCGGCTTTCCACCAAACCAGCGAACCTTAGGCAATTACCGCCTTGCACATCCATTGCATATGTTCAAGACGTAGACCCTATTTCTTACTTAGCATTTTCGTGCAAGAATACAGGGCACCATTGGTCTTTTTAACTCAGGGTTCTGTGCTCATCATATTGGTTAATTTCAGTGTTTAGTTTTAGGAACATGGGTAGGATAAAATTACGAATCTTTCTCCTTGTAGTGAATAATAGAAGTCAGGCCTTTGTGGGGTTTACGATGAGCCCGCAAAGCACTCAATGGCTTTCGAAGGGACTGGGAATATCTGCTTCCCAAGCGGCATCACGCCAGACCGTGAGTTCAGTGTGCCCCCCCCCTTGGGAAACCACAGCAACCTAACCTAAGCTAATTCTATACCAACTCACTAACACACTTTCGCACTCATTGATTCAAATTGCATTGAATAACTCAATTATTTGTAACGCAAGTAACGCTAACAAAAAGGCTTTCCGTTCATTGATCCCCATCACATGCCAACTCGCCCACGAATTAGTAACAAATTTACCGAAAATATAGCCAGCTTGTTCGCTAATGACCCAAAGGATGGCTGGTTGGTTGGCCGCCACTGACACCCACAACATATTTGTAATCCTATGCAACTCTGCCACTTACACACGCTTACACACAAGTGCTACTGTGTAGTCGGCACATTAAATTGAATTTATTTACAAAATTCAGCAGCTGACAGCATTTTAATTGTGCACATCAATTCAAAGTCACTCTGCTGTGTACCGTATTAGCTACTTAGTTACTGCTGCACCTGCTGCACCACTTTCCAGCCATCCATGCGCGCGTCCTTCGTTGTCGATGTGGCAGCCACACTGCGTGCAGCCTTGATTACTTAATTAAATGCCAACAATCACGGTGCATTAAGTCGACAAGACGAGTCGCGTCGCATCGCATCGCATCGCATCGCTGTGGAGTAGGGCACCTTTGAGTAGGGCGTGTGGCAGCTAAACAACACAAAAACAACAACAGCACTAGCTATGAAAATAACAAATAATGCCTAAAATTGCACATTGGCTTTGGTGCTGGAAATAAGTAAGCATTTGAGCACTGGCTACAACAGCAACATCAGCAGTGAGTACAGCGCTGTGGCACCTTGTTGGCATTGTTGACGGTGTGGTGTGGCGGTGCGCACAGCGACTCTATGTACATATGTATGTATGTATGTATGTATGTATGTATGTAGGGATTTATATGCACAACAACCGTATCAACTTTAATCAATCAGCAACAAAACACCGCGCGTTGTATACCACACGCTGCCAACAACAACAACAAATACCGCAACACAAAGCATCAAATAACAATTGCTGCCACGAGGCATAGTTGCAACTATGGGCGGTGCATAATAGAGCAGAACGGCATGGTTATATGTTTGTGTGCGCATACATACTTATGTATGTGTATGTATGTATGTTTATGAGTGTACGGTGGAGTGAAATTTTTTCCACAAATGTGCGTGTGGATGTGCTCGCGTTGCGTGGGTAACTGGATATCGCCTGGCAGCCACAACGATCACCATTGTTGCCAACAATAAATTATGCCACAACAAGCCAGCAATTGCAGCGATTTCACAGCACTTACGGCTGTAGCAGCAAAAAAACAATATCAGTAAAAAAACGCCTACACCAACAACAACAATAACGTGGTTATATGTGGCAAGCATGCAACCATAATGCCGCCAACTGCAACTAGTTGCCACCAACCAGCCAGTATGTGGCATGCGGCATGCGGTATGCGGCAAACTGCTGTGAAATTCGAGCATCGCGCCGCAGCCATAAAAAGTTCAAAGCAGTCAAAATGTTACGCCAACACATTGGCACTTATGTTGCCGCTCGGTGGCGGTAACAGTAAAGGTGGCAACGCGGGCGCCAGCGCCACCGCCGACCGAGACCAAGACCGAGACCCTCGGCTAGAGAGGGTGTTGCTGTTTGCCGCATAACGATAGTACCAACTAATGTTTATAAGCTTGCCACAAAACGACATAGTAACTAAGTATGTATATATATATATACCTCTAGTACTTATTATTGTTATGGTTATTTTAGTTGTTGTTGCACATTGCCATTGAATTTGTTGTACTCTTTTCTTTTGGCTGTTGGCAGTAGGTGTATGCTGCAACAAGCCATTTAGCAACATTATTTTGCATTGCACTCAACTTGAGTGCAGTGAAGTTTGCTTACATGTCTCTTCGTTCGGGCGTGTGTGCATGTATGTATGTATGTATGTGGATTGCCATGGAAAATTGAAATGAATCGCTTTAAATTCTATATCAATTTTAACGTATTCATTTGCTCAGTGAATGTGGCATGCAACGTGCGCTCCTTACACACACACACACACACGCGCACACATACTCATTCGCACACTCACTCACTATTTTCCTGCTTGTTCCTCACTGCATTTTCCGTCACACTGCACACGTCTGCTCGCATTCACATAATCATCACTCGAGCCAGGAGCTGAAAACCTCAACTGCTTAGCTGCTACTACAACAACTACTACTACTACCACTACTAAGCAACTTCTTATTCACTTCACTGCAGTTTACTTTAAAGTGGGTTAAGATCATTAAAATTCGTTGCAATTTCAAGCATTCAACATTTGGTTTGTTGTTCTTGTTTTTGCTGTCGTATTTATAAGTAGTTGCTGCTTAGTATGTTGGTGAATGTTGCAACAATGAAATACCAGCGCGCCAAGATGGGTGGCGCTGGTTGCCGGCGAGGGGTATAATGTGCTCACTTAAGTATGCACTCATTAAACCCAATGAGAATTCACTGCTTCACTGTCAGTTTGGCAAATTAGCTACGTAATGGTCGCATCTTAAAGCCACTTGTAATATTTCTGTACGTAGGTGCGTATACTTACATACAAACATTCCAGCGAATACATTATCACTACGTAACTATTCTTCAATGCAAGTGGAAATACGAGAGTGGAAGCCGAACATTTCATAGAATTGGGTGGTTGGAGAGTAGGGCATGATTTTTTTTTTACTTACTCAAAATACTATGTTTTAGTGAAATTGGTGTAGTAAAGTAAATAAAATTGAGTTTCTGGACGTGTTCAAGTTCCTCACTAAACAAGGACATATTTGAAAAACGTGGACTCTTTTCCAGTAAATTTGGTTAAGCTGAAGTGGCTGCCTTCATACAGTAAGAGAGACGCTAAGACTCAGAAAACCCGTTGTGGTAGATACCGTTTCAGGCGCTCGTTTCGTATTCGTACACTCACCTGGAAATACATTCAACCAATATTTTAAACTAATGACGATATGGGCGTCTTCACAGCTTTAGTGATCTATGCTTTCAATTTCTTTCTCAGCACGGCTGCTGCGGCAGAGGTCAATGGCTGAAAGGCTCATTCCAGTAGCACGATTTTCTATTTAGCAGTAACTGGTTACAAAACCCGGTTACAAACCAATCAAAAAACCGGCTACCTACCTAATCTCAGTGCATTCTGGACGAATGTGTGGCTCCTTTTCGATATCGAAAGAAATTGGTGGAGTGCGGTTTCCACAGTTCTGATCTTATAAGGGGAGAGACCTACAGTTTAACGCGGACCTCGAACCGTGATTTTATTTTAATAAGAAACTGCTTTTCATGGCACAAATCCACTCGGAAGTTGGCCTTTGCCTGCCGAGGGGCGACCGCTGTTAGAAATAACTTTTCCGTTTATTTTGTTTTTGTTGTTAGTCGGAAACTGGGCTCGATCCCAGGTCCTGAGCACTTCTAACCACTACAGCACAGCGGCCGTCTTATATATTACTGATAGATATAAAACGTAATTCATTTTTTTAAGCTGGGGAAATTATCTCTAAATCCGGAAAGCTTACTGCTAGAAGGAGTCTTGGAACAGGAACAGGAACAAATAGGCTCGGTTCTTCAGTAAAAGAGGGAAGTGAGTATTTACTAGAATCAATGGAACTATCGACAGTATTGATGCAATTAAATTTTGACCACCACCGATGTTTCTTTCTCCACTATCGACCGTTTTTCACTCCTCAATCACCCCGATTTTGTTCAAATTTTATTTTAATTTGAATTGATCGAGAATATCGATGGTTGTGCACATCCATTCTTTTCCGGCTCTACTAGAATCCGAGATGACGTCTACTCGCCATTTGGCTTCTGGATGTAATTGAGAGAAAGTGGATACTTGAGAAAGTCTTTAGTAAACAATAAACTAGTGTGCCCCAATATTATCGCAGAAATTTTTCCAGGAGAGCGGTTCCTCCGTAAAAATCATTGATTTATATATAAGTGACATAGTAGTATACTGAAACAAGTTAGAGAGTGAAATGAAGATAATGAAATATCAGGACGCTCGGTTCGGGCAGATTTCTTCAGAAATTGTTGTAAAAGTAAAAAAAAAAAAAACAGTTTGCTGAAATTGCTTGGCATCTTCTAAAATCATTATGAACGTACTGCATGATCATCTGGTTTTTAGGTGGATTTTTAGTTACCGCAAAGACTACCAAACTAAAGTTTCCATGTCGGTTTAGAAACCTTGAAAGTTATCTTTCCAAAAGCATAGTTAACTTTGTTGTCGCTCATTCCTTTAGTATCTAAGTTTTAATTGGTAAGAAGTAGTGCTGAAAAATCATCGATTATATTTTACTTTGTACTCATATATATAAAGTTCCTTTTCCATTCATGTTAACCTCCATTGTTGCTCGATCCGGTATCTCTATATTTGCATAGTATTTTTACAAGCTCTTGAGAAATTTTGAATATTTTATCGCCCAATTATAATCCAATATTCGCAAATTAAAATCTTTTATTCTCTTCCTCTTTTCAGATTCAACAACATAGCGCACAGCTCCAAAATGTGGAGCCCACAAAAAGGTCCTACACGATTGTGGGACCTTAGGTTTAGTCATATATTTATTTTACCTATAATGGTGAGTACAACAATAAATCCCTAACTATTTTAAGTTAATTAAGAATTAAAACCACTAAAGCCTATTTTGTATCTTAACTACTGAAATATTCTGAAAATTCAGTCAAGACCATTATTTTATCCCAGCGTTTCCAATCTAACTATCATAACTAAGACTTGCCTATTTACCCGCAGAGTCGCCTCTACTTACAAATAGTAACTGCGGACCGATTCTGTTGATTCGACTGCGGATTTTTATGAAGAAAACAATGGCTACAAATATGTACCATCTAACTATAAACAAAATGTAAAAAAATATATAAAAATGTATACATTTTTCTTATGGTTAAGTGGTACATTCTTTAGGCTCCGTTTTCTGCATAAACATCCGCAGTCTACTGATGACAATATCTTAGGGGATATACTGTGACTGCCCCCCAAATATGACATTCTGGCAGCAATATGTATTTCCTTGCCTTTTCTCCCAAGTGCCTCCAATGAGAAAAACGTTTTTAAGGGCTGCGAATCGTATTGAGACAAGTAGTAAAAGAACTACCTATATGCCAAGACAAATGAGATAGATCAGAAAGTAATCGAAAAAAAAAAAAAATTGAAAACATTGTCGGACTTCTACAGGTTTTAGTATAATTATATTTTTAGCCATGTACGAGCGCTACTGCCGCAACGAGTTAAAAATTGGCTTGACAATCTTAACGCCTTGGTTGGCACAGAAGCGATATTTTATAAACAGAAACCCGAAAGAGTATCTGATGGATACCAACTGAGACGTTCAAAGCCGGTAGGAGGCTTTGTAAAATGAAGTTGAGCACAACCTTGAACTCCAAGTTGGGAAGACGCTCTTAGCGACATTGCAAACCAAACGAGGTTTTAGACAGGGCGACCCAATTTCGTGTGGATTCGATAGACAGTTGAAAGGCCAGAGTCTTTTCTCGGCGGGCAAAAAGCACGCTCCAACAATCTCCCAGCATGCCTAGGATTTTGTATAGCGCAGAAATGTGAACGAAGTCGACCAAGATGAGAAAACCTTGAGAACTGTAGATAGAGCTTCCTATGGCCCGGTTCACATGAGCGACAGGTGCCGAAGAAAAAGTGTACGAGCTTTTTAACGGCACTGGCAAAGGTGGGAAGGTAATTGGCGAAATGGTTGGGTCTAAGCTCAAATGGACAAAAGTGTCTAGCTCCAAATGACAATATGAAGAAGAAGAATAACTTAATAAAAGATATGAATAAAATCCAGAAATCCAGAAGTTTAGATCTCAGAAATTCGCAACGAGTCTCTGCAATTTTAATTTTTTCCGAGCCGCTATTGAGCAATTATAAAAATCAACGTTATTAAATAAGCTTCCAAGAGGTGTGTGTGTGTGAAAATATGTAAGAGCATATACTATTGCCTCAGAAGCAAGAAAGGAATATAGAGGCAAAGAGTGTAGTTCAACTAATTGGTAGACATGCTGGCACCACTTAGTCTTCTCGCAACAATTTTATGGTAATAAGTTTGGTGGGATTCCACAAAATACAATCGCGACATGACAACACCAATACAAACGCATATGGTTACCTATACCTAGGCGCGTTTTAGCATTAATATATTGTATCTACTAGAATGTAGCACTAACAGTATATCTAAATAAACTAAATAATTTCTACATATATGTATGTATGTATGTATGGGAGCATTGCACCAAAGTAGGCAAAATATTGCAGCGACATAACATAATAACAAAATATTGCTGCTTTTACTACTAAACACTCACTCACACACACACACACAAACACAAATCCACTTCCAATGCGAAAGTCCCCAAAGAAGAGCTGAAGTAAATATCTTTACAACCAGCCGAGATGCAACCAGCCAGCCAGCTAGCCATCCAGCCAACCGACCGACCGACCAACTAGGCATTTGCATGCAAACTCCAGCCACTCTTCAGGTTCAATTAAGCTAACGCAGTTGAAAATCCAGCAAATGATTGGCTTAATTCAGCCACCGCTAGCTGGCACTGATTGCTGCTACTACCGGCGACAATAAAGTCTGTCTGCTCTATTCGTTGTGTGTTGTTATTATTGTTATTGCCAATGCGGTGCTCCATGAGTTGTATGTATGACAGCAATGAAGTGTGGAGCAGTGGCAGTGGCAGTGGCTTTGAAATGGCTGCAGCCTAACTGACTGGCTTGCTGGCTGGCTAGCTTGGTGACTGACTGACTGGCTGACTGACTTGTTGGTGCATTGGCCGGCACGATCCACCATTCATTGCCAACACATTTGCTGCTTGGATGTGCCTACTATGAGCCTTCCTTCCATCTGCGCAACGGAGTCATAGCTATATACATGATAGTATGTGTACGAGTGCGTGTGTTTACATATCCAGTATTTCCTGCTGCCAACATTTAAGTTGACATGAAATTGGCCAACAGGCAAAGTGGCCAAGGCAAGTGTGTCGAGTATGTTAATTTGGCAATTTCATTATTTAGTTGCTCGTTCGCGCTCTCTCGCCCAACAACTTTGCGTCAACTATGCATTTACTGTTGATTTTGTTGTTTCTACTGATGTTGTTGCCTGGTGTTTTATTTGCTTTGCTTTGCTTTTTTGGTTGCACAAATGCATGTTGCAGCAGCTGTGGCTGCATGCCATTTGCCATATGTGGATTTATTGCCGCTGCGTGTGCGCAAATATGCGAGTGAATGAGGCAGGAAAGAGCTTCATTGTAGCGAGCAGGAGGATAACGTTGTAAATCTATGCAATTGTGTTTTATTTCTTTATTTTTTATTTTTATTTTTTTTTGATAATCTAAAATATTTATATATCTCTATTGAGCATTTCACAGGAGTTAATAATTCCATAGATTACTGAGAAATCGTTGTGGTTCTGACCTTAATCTACATATCCCGTATTCAAGCCATTATGAACTCACTTCGCTTAGCTCCAATGTTTAGCCATTTGCAAAAGCCACAAATACGCCCTTTTCTTCGCATAGAAAAAAACCGAACATCAAACCACCAGCTTCGTTAAGAGGCTAAGAACTCAGCAACAAATTTGAACCATTAAGTAGCTCTAACCTTTTTTGTCGTTCAGCGAAAAATTAATGTTATTTCTTTTAAAGCTTGAAAAAATAAAGCTTCCGCGCCAGCACTACATAGTCAGTTCTGACATTTCGAATAACTCTTCTGCGTAGCTTGAAAGTGAACGAACTTTTTTCCGATAGTGGAAGCTGTTGCCAATGAAACGCAGGTGGCATAGTTATATGTAGTTGCTTCCAGTGCTGAGAGAAGTTTGAGAAGACCTACAACCACATAAATGTGGAGTATCTGGAAGAAACACGTTGAAACGATCACGAAAGCTTTAAGGGTGTGCAAGTATATACAAGGCGAGTCCTGCGTATGCAGTCCGATAGATGATTGATTTACACGATGTTAACTAATATAACCACAATGGGGCAATCACTCACAATACACCAACGCCTGACACGTATTTGAATAACTGGAGCAATGCGCAGATGTCGAACGGCAGAGCTGACATTTTCTATTGAGCTGGAGCCACTTCAGCTTACCATAAATTAGGGTAGCCAAACAAACTCTACCTAATTTTACTGGAGTAGGCTTTGGCAAGGAAAAGGTCATTTTGTCTAAGAAAATAAAGAAAGTAGGCTCCGTAATCCGATAAGCATTATTTCTTAGAGAAGGCATAGACAGCACCACAGCTTTTAAAAAGAGTTTTAAAATAGAAGTATACAACAAGCCAACATGGGGTGGCTCCACTATGGAGAGCCACTAACAGGCTATATTGGTTTTTTTGAAATCATCATAAGGAGTAGGAACGGGGATCTCAAGTCTAATAATAAAGGTGTCTTTTGGAATAGGTAGTTATCCGAACACATTTCAGAGGGTAGGCCAAGCCCAGTGGCCTGTGCACAATGTTAAGCCTACGAAGAAATTATCGTAATTAAAGAATCCTTACGTTAATTTAAAAGTCAGCCGGCTCATAGCCCCTTCATCCATCTTTCAGCATTATATCATATCTGCCTCTTGAGGTATTGAGACCCTTATAGGTACCAAGTAGGGTTCTTGTTAATTGAATAGTTTACAAATCGGTTAGTCGATTAGCAAAAGGGTCATTCCATGTAATAATCTCTATTTCAGTAGTAATCTCTCTTTAAATGACTACAATTCATTAGTCTGTTGCAAAATATTAAAAAATAATAATAATAAAAAGAAGATGTAATTTTAAACTATGTAATCTTTTAATTCGTGCATAATTACTTTACACCAGTCACAAATTTATATATTTTTTAGTATTTCTGTGAAGATTATATAAGCATAATTTTTATTGAAAACAAAAGTGTATATTTCATATTTTACATCACTAAAATATCTTCCTTGAAAATTAAGCATTCTGGCTAAAATTCATTGTTGAGTGCACAAAGGTAAAATGGAGTGATTTTTAGTGTCTTACCAGTCACATTCTTTCAAATAATCGTTACATTAAACAAAGGAATCGTTTGGTATTTTTGTTAAAGCAATTTTATACAATAGTTATCGTTCTATGTTAAAAAACATCTTTCGCTGTTGTAAAAGTTCCGAACACATAGTTATAATTCACAATTTATCATAATCTGGAGTAAAATGTCCCTCCAGTCATAATAGAATGGCCCATAAGTAGTCTCAAACAATAGTCGACTTCACTTAAACGACTAACCGTTTCCATTCTACTTTTTCAAGACAAAAAGTCGACTAACATTTTAGGCTTTTCAATTTATAATTTTCTTTCAATAAATATTGGATTTTTTTTATATAATTTATGAATGCCAAAAGAGTTGACGAAACCCTACCGCGTTAATAACAATAATAACGAGAGCTGTAGTACCATGTCCTAAGGTTATAGCTGACAGATTAACCAGAGAGGCGCCAATCAGAGAACAAAGGAGAAGAGAAGAGAAAAAAGAAACGGACTTTGGCAAATGCCGGGACATATTTCCATATCTACTGAATTGACTTTGAACGAATACACTTTCAGGCATGAAGCATTTGCATCAACTCCCACAAAATTGTCCAGCCAGCCCAGCCATTCTACATAATTTCATTGGCTGAACTAAATATGTCAAGTTCCATCTTCACCCGTATTTTCCATGGCTAATTCGTAAGGGGATATATAAATGAATGTTACTTGGAATCTTTCTCTCGAAAGATGACGTTGGCTATCTGTTGCGATTTCAGGTTTTCCACGCCAAGTTTTGCTTAATTATTAGGGCGCATGTTATTTGCTGCAAAAAAGGCTAGCGCGTATTGTGGCTGCAAACAAGAAGTGATCCTTGGTGGATACCCTTATGCTGAAATTTTGTGCTGCAATGCAACTATCTTACGGCACTGATCATCCTAAATCCGTTAGAAGAAGTTTCGTCTTGTAGGCTGAAAGTCGTCAAGTCGTCGTTTTTATGTCGTGAAGAGGCAGCGCTCAATACTATGATCTAAAAGGTCCTAAAAGTCTTTGATCGTATCGTCTTTCTCTTCCATCTGGCGTCGAAGCAAATATGTGAGATGTTGAAAAATATCGCTTTGATATGTATTGTGGCGAAATGCTGGGTTCGCCGGAGTTAACAACAGTACTTGGCGACGAAGTCTCTCGCCTTTCACAAATCCAACACTGAATTCTGCTCATAATAACAATGTAATAGAAGCCCACGTGTTACGTGAACATTAAACTAGCCGGGAAGGGGCACCTTCCTCATTAAGGGTAGAGAAACTCCAGGGGCAAGCTCACAAATTATAATCCTTTAAACGTAATCCTCAAAAAAAGGCGGTTCCTCCGAGGCTTTGTTTTACAATGCATTGGAAGGGGGTTGTACTAAGGTCATTGCGTATGCTGAGAAACTTCCTGTGGTTGTTTTCACAGTTCTAAAAATGTCGACTTGACGTGCACGGATTACTGTGTACCAAATCTAAGCTTTACAAAAGGGTATACCATTTATATTCCTGATTTAGATTTTTTCTCAGGGAGAGCTACTGAAGTAAATGGATCACTCTACTTCTACACTGATGATTGAAAACTAGAGAAAAGGGCATTTGGTTTTCCAGTTGGAGCTGGAAAAATCATACCGCCTATCCGGCGTCTTTCAAGCTGAAACTGCTGTCATGCAGTAGGCGGTTGAACGCTTGACTCTGTCACGAGCAGCCGTATACTGTGTTTGTCGGGCTGCGATACAGTATAACTCAGATTTTAGTTTAGCGCGTTTCTACTGCTTTTCTAATTGTTCTTAAATATCACTATACCAAGATTTTTGATTTGAGAAGCATAAGAAAACTACATATATTAGAATTCTAATATAAAATCAATTTTTTTTTCTCTAAAGTTAGTGGCTTTGTTTGCTGGATACCTACATTTTCCTAGCCTGCAGCGTGGTAACATCAGTGCCTAAACCTATTGCTGGGGAATGAGACTCTGTATGTACATATGCATTCGTCACGGCCAAGGCTCTACGCTTTGAATACAAATAATACATACATGCTACTCGTACAAAGATAAATATTTAAAAACTAGTTTCTGGGTCATATTTTCTTTAGACTCCAGCCCAACTCATATTTTTAATTGCAAAAGTAAAAGTAGGTATGCTTATTAGCTACATAGTATGTACAGTGGTTTTACAATTGAAAGCATCCTTTTTCATGCCACTTTAAATAAGTAAAGGAAGCAAAAAGAGAAGAGCGCAAAAAAGTTAATTTATAATCAGCGTGCGGCACAACAAAGTACAAAGCCAGCATTGCATTGCAGAGATTATCTGCAATCTTTTTGACTATCTGACATGAAAATTGCATTTGCAATTAGAAATGAATTAAACAAACACATACTCCAGCATAACGTAAGCCCGAAGCAATAGCACACTCAAGAGTAAGTCAGTAGTAGAAAGTAGTGAGTTGCTGGTTGGCAAAACAAAAAAAAAACGAAGCAAAAACAAAAACACAAGAAGTGTAAAAGTAAGTCAAGAAGCTGCTAACGCGGACTGCATGCAAACTTATATATTTACTACGCGCAAACGTAAATGCAAACCTACATACATACATACATTGAAAAGAATATTTTTCCAAACCATTTTCCTATTTTCCTGTCAGGCCAAGTGTTTTCCTCATTTTTGTTTTTGTTTTTTTTTTTTTTTGCTGCAGTACACTTTTACACGCGCTTAATATTCTTTTAATTTATAATCAGGCAGCAAAAATGTTGCGGAAAAAATGTTGCAGCGCGAGCGCATTGCAAGCGGTAGGTAGCATGCGAAATTGGGTCAAGACACAGTTGCCACATTCACCAAGAATCGCTGCACTCACCGGCTCACTCATTCGCTGGCATGCTACTCACTTAACACTCATTTATGCGCGCGGTGGCAATCTGACGGCCTGCGCGCGGCTGGCAGGCAGCTTTTGGCTCACTGCACTACCCGGCCGGCCGCCAACTGCAGCGCTCAACTTAAGCTGACACACAAGACAATGCGGGCGCGCCTAAATGCCTGAATGTCTGCATGCCGAAGTGCCACAATGCCTGAATGCCAGTGGGTTGAGTATTCCCGGGGCATCTTTGCGGGCTTTGTGGCGCGCACTTTCCGCACCAGCAGTCGTGTGAATAATATTAATTAAAATTTTACACATTTTTTTTCCAGCATTAACACACATTTAAATCATGTTACCCCCTTATCAACCTCTTTTAAGTGATTTTTTTTTTTTGTTTATTTAATATTCTTCTTATGCCATCTACCTTGTGGTCTTTCTCTCTTTGCAGTTTAGTTTAGTCTTAGCTGGTAATGAATTGTGGCCCATGGAACGGCCAGAGGGAATGCCAAACATAGTGTCTTTAGAAGTGATGTGCGGTAAGGATCACATGGATGTACATTTGACATTTTCACATCCATTCGAGGGCATCGTCAGTTCAAAAGGTAAAAAGAAATGGTTAAAAGTATTGGCATGAGTATATATATGTACATATTGTATCGAATAACTGACATACATTTTTTTATTCTTACCATAGGGCAACACAGTGATCCGCGCTGCGTTTATGTGCCGCCATCGACGGGCAAAACGTTCTTTTCTTTTCGGATATCGTACTCACGCTGCGGCACGAAACCCGATTTGCATGGACAGTTTTATGAAAATACGGTGAGTTGAATTGTTGTGAAAAATAAAACAGTCAAAGGGTTGTGTGATGAGTGCCTTTTGCACCCCAATTAGCACTTAGGATGTATTTACATGCAATGCGAATCAATACAAAGTCTTCGCAAACACGGTCATAATTTGCGATACATTGGAGTAAGGTCTGGAAAATCTCACACAGCGATAAGTATATAGAGTCATGTCACCCATCATAATGATAAAAGATTCACTATAAAAGAGCCAGTCGACTAAAGTCTGCGAAAAAACCAAATGTTACTGGAGAGGCGCATGGTTCGATTTCAGGCCCCAGCAACATCAATACAGTTTTTTTTTTAAATAGCGGTCGCCCCTCGACGGACCATAGCATACCTGCCAGTGTACCCCTGCCATAAAAAAGCTTCTTCGGAGGTGGAGTAAAAGTATAGATCTCGCCATTTTTGTCACAACATCTAGAAGGAGCACACGAATTGGAGGAGAAGCGCAACCAAACACGTAGAAAACGTTTAAGCCATTTTTTGGAATCAAATATGATATACTATTCATCCCCAAATAAACTAGGATATTAATTTAAAACTATTTAGGGGTTCCCTACTACATCAAATTAAGCCGCCAGGCGACCGTTAAGGCCCTACTTTCATATGAAAGAAATTCGATCACCGTCGCGGACTGTAAGGAGGCTATAAGAAGGCTAACTGTGGCTAAAACCGTCCACCTATATTGGCTCCCAGGGCACAAGGGTGTGGAAGGTAATGGGAGAACTGACGAGCATCCTCTTAGGCGCCTCACTAATGACGAATATACCAATTCCTCTTGAGGAAATCAAAATATCTGCACATGTGCCGCCAAGTGGATAGGGTTTGGAAAATAACTCAGGATTGCAGACTTCCGAAAATTATGTGTGATACTATTGTTATCAGCGCATTGTTCGCTAAGAGCACATGCATTTAAGTTAGATCTACTAGAGAACAAAAAATGTAGGAAATGTCACGTAGGACACTATCGCGAGGAAAACGTGGAGCATATACTTAATTTGCGAGTGTTCAGCCTTCAGCAGGCAAAGACTTGCTTTACTCGGCAAGGTACAGCTCCAGAGCCTACAAGCAGCAATCGACAAAGGACCAAAGTGTCTATTGAAATTCGCTAAAGGAATAGCAGTGTTCTTAAACAATGCGTGAAATAATTGATTTATAGGTCGTAAACGTATATGGCAATGCTATGGACTCGTTTATGTGTGAGACCTCTCATGGTCAGCCAGCATAACCTAACTTAACCTAATCTAGGTGTTGGTAGCCCTTAAAGTGGAAAAAGTCTTGAAAACATCGAAAAACTCAAAACTTTTATTGGGAGGTAAAGATATTCGAAAAATCGAAATTTCAAACAAACTTCCTATAGACATAAAAAAAAGTGGAAACCGGCGAAGGCATCCGCGCAAAGCGAACATTGAGTATGAGTTTCAATCAAGGCACACAAGCCCTAGGCAGTTTGCCAATAGACCCTGAAGAAACTATCCAGCATTTCCTGTGCAACACACAGGTCACACACCTATAATGCCTAACAGCACAGTTACCCATGAACGTTTATGTAGCGTACCATAGAAGTGCGTAGAAACATATCAAATTTGCTGTTGATAGAGAGAGAAGCAATGAACGTGACGTGGACGATGGTGAGTTTTCGGTAACACGCAGATCCCATAAGAAAGATCGTGTCAGTTGACGCGTTCTCCGTTTTTACGTTTGTGGGTAACTGCGCTGGTGAAAGATATAGTACTTTGAATTGCAAGTTTATAAGCAGCCACAAGGGTAGACTTCAGTAAATTCTTTAAGGAACCAAGATATCTGAATAAGTGTACAGGAAACAGTTAATTCCAATGGGAAATGTATTGAAAGTATGGCCCATTAAGCTATTTGATAAGAGCTGAAAATAGCCGATGCGTGAATCGCGCCTAGCATTTATGTATGTATGTAAAAAGTCGCTCACTCTGTAATCAGCCTAGGGCCAATACAATTCGGCAAAGTAAACGCACCAAGTTCTTGCTATGATAACAAATACATAAATAGTACTGTGAATTAGTTGATAACAATGAAATATTTTATTTTTATCTATTCGTAGGTGGTTGTGCAATACGACAAAGATTTGCTGGAAGTCTGGGATGAAGCAAAACGCTTGCGCTGCGAATGGTTCAATGACTACGAAAAGACCGCATCGAAGCCACCAATGGTTATTGCCGATTTGGATGTCATACAACTGGATTTTCGTGGTGAGTTAAATTAAATGTTTTTAAAAAATAAAATAAATATTATTATGTACATTAGACTGTGCCAACGGTAAATATATGGAAAAAAATGTGTTTGCAAATTTTGATATGCATACCCTCTGTATTTGTGCTTTTTAGTCTAAATAGCATATGTATGAAGTTTTATGGCTGTAGGATAATGATAACCCGTGCCGACTTTTAGTTGAAGTTTTAGTTAGTAACTTGAATTAATAATCCATGAAAGCTTTGGAAATGCGAAATATTCGATATGTTTCCCATATTTGAATGCATTTCCAATATGTCTGCGTCTTTAAATTTTTAATAGGATGACAGGATTTCTCCCAAGGAAATCGAAACAATTGTTTAAGGGAAAATATCCTTTGCAATTTTTATACTTCAATATCCTTATATATATTTATAGGATTTAAATTAAATTAAGATTCTTCATAATGCAAACTAAACTAAAATCTTTAAGGATTATATTTTTAAAGAACATTTTTGACATATTCCAAAAGGATAATTGAAAACAAAAGTTATACTTAATCTTTTTTTTTGAATTTTCCGTTTGATTGATACCCATATATCCATATTTTGTGTAAACTTTAGGAAATGTATTATAATGTGTGATCCTTTGGAAAATATCCTGACTACCTGGTAAAAAACCAGAAACGCAGATTTACTTAATATTATGCCCTAATGCTGTAGGGGGTATAGTAATACCTCCTTATATAGAAGTAAAGATTATTCCGATAACTTGAGGGCACGGGTTGCCGTGGTGCGAATTGCTTAAAACGTTCTTCAGATAGTTTTTAAGACAAAACCAATAAAATGGTTTTTTGGGACAGTCTAATGTATGTACATATGTACAAAGTTCGTACAAACTACAATAAAATGCAGCCATAATTATGTAAATAATATCTGTGGACATAAGCAATAAACGCCTAGGTTGACTTAAGAAAGAATTAAGTTATATATATATGTTATCGTATTCTGCAACTATTATTCCATGCGTACGAGAAATCTCCATCTCGCCAGCTAGGCTATTTAAAAAGTAATAGACGAACATATTTTGGTTTCCCCATAAGTTTAACGTTACAATCCAAATGTTTAAAACGTTTTTTTTCGAATTCAGGTTTTTCGACTTAGGCGGTTATTGCTTATGACCACAAATATATCAAATTGTAAATAATAAAAGTTACACTTAACTTTACACACACCTTTCTCACGCATCATCATTTCTCTCTATCTCTATCTCTCTTCAAGGTGATAATGTTGACTGCTGGATGGAGATACAGCATGGCAAAGGCCCATGGGCACCGCCAGTTAGCGGCATTGTGCCACTAGGTTCTACACTTACACTTGTGGTTGCCATCAACGATTATCGCGGTAAGTTACCATTAAATGTACGATCAGGCAAACAGTTAATAACAGGGACGATAAATGAGCAATAAAGTAGTAGGTAATACGAGAAAGGCTTCCCGCAAATATTCTTCTGTGTGCGTATAAGCGCACATACATACTTACAAAAGTGCATATGGCACAGTGAAGGTATGTGGCCACCGACACCTAGCGCTCCATCACCATTGTGCCTCAATCATACGAGTATGTACATACATTATTCGCATCCTCATTATGATGTACATATATATATGCAGTAGGAAGCTTACTTACATAAGCACACAAACATATGTACATACATATCACAGCCAGTGCCTGTGGCGCCGAGTTGTCTACAATTAATGAGTGGATTTCACGGCGCTTTCATGTGGTTTTTTTCTTCTCTTTTCTGTGTTGCATATAAGTATAGAGACTCTCCAGGTGGCTGTTAATAAGTGGTGTGCCAGAAATTGTGTGGCATGAACGGAAGTATAATCATGTTTCAAGCTAACAAACAATGCAAGCAGCGAATAGCGCACGCACGAAAAGAAAGCAATACGTATGTATGTAGTAATAAATGATGTGTAAATCGGTGGCTATTCAGTGAGCTTTCATATGAAAGCGTTTTTACTACCACATATTAAATTTTCAAATGTATCATTAAATATCACTATCATAATGGACAAAACAGACAGTTAAAAAATTTGATATTGGTAAGCAAAATTACATCTTCAGTGCACAATTAGGACTCCTGTACGGTGCGCTTATGCTCCTAGGAAGGCTCCGAAAAGAGTCCCAAAGAGGCATATCCGCCGGAGAAAAGTGTCTTCTCAGTACATATAAAAAAAGTGTGCCTTGGGACTAATTAAATGAGTGATTTTGGAGATGAGAGAGATGTCTATTCGGCCGTCGAACTTAACTTATATTTGCAATCTCAGAATATTTTGAACTTTTTTACCGGTGAGGCAAGTGCCAGAAGTGCCGCTTGGCTATCTGAGAAAATGTATGCTTTATAATCTGATTGTGTTCCTGATTCCATAAGCTTGCGAAGAATAAATATCACTATGATCGTTCTGCAGCTCTCTTCAGCAGTTTTAAGCTTTGAGTCTGATTGACGAGTTCACTGCAATCTCAAAGATGTGGAACTCTATGGGCAGTGTTGGTCAGTATCTGAGTCGCTATCTTAACAGTTAAGTGTTGGCCATGAAGCGGCTACAATGTCGCCTTTCTCCATTTTAAAGGTGGCCAAGCATATGCCAAGCAGGCATAATTAAAGCGAAGCAGAAAATAAGTGTCCATTTGGAAGGGAACATACATAATATATGTATATGAAGAAAAAGATACTGATAGCCAACTGAGTGCCGTCTCTTAGCTAACTGTTCGCAGGCAACCTCTGAAAAGAACGTTAGAATGAATCAGTACAACGGAATCCAACTTCAGTGTCTAACAACCCGCTTCCGACAACGACTGCTACTGTCTATTAGAGATCAGTTTCGTTGCATAAAAAAAAATATTAATTAATACGAGAGATCCACCATTCTTCCTAAAGACGGACCGACATCTCATTACGATGCTCAAATGACTCGTGCCAAAAGTTCTAGTCGAACAACGCATTGGCCAACAAGGGAAGGAACGAGTCAAGTACGGGTCGCTGGCGCGGCAATGAAACGGAGAAAGCTGACTAGGCGCGCATGAGGAAATTGAGAATCCTGAAATCCAGCGCCTTCTTCGAATCACCCATGCAGCTGCTGGGGGTCCTTTCGTTCACAGAATTAAATCATGCGGGCTTTTAACATAGCAACTAATTGGTAATTTATGGAAACTCGGACTATGGAAATGAAGCGACATTGAGGAATATATGGCAATAGGACGTCAAAGTTCTCGCTAGCAAAGATAAGAATACCTCGGATTTTCTTTGACTGGAAGCGCAGTTTTGAGTTATTTCTGCCTCTAAGCTATCAGTACCAATCATTCCTTGAAGATGACTAAACAACAAAACCCTTTTCGTGCTTCTGACCGACCTTCGCAAGGATTAGAAATGAGAATTCTAAGGGTGATACAAAGGACGTTAAGTACTTCTGTAATCTACGTTCTATTTTCTTTCACGTTGTTTCTATTCATATTGACAAAGGAGGATCTTTAGCAACTTGGATCTTAAGATTCGGAAAATTAAACAACCAGGCAAGACACACACACATATCCGGCTGAGAGGAAATCCTTATTTTAAAACTCGAAACTGTATAATTTATTTAATTAATTAAAGGCTTTTTTATTACCTTCGAAGATTTCAAAATGCAAACTTTATAATTTTCGTCTTCTCCATTTTTTTTTTTAATAAAAATCTCCAAAGACTACAAGAATTCATTGAAACGGTTATCTGTTATGGTAAAATGCCTACAATTTAACGACCGGACGTGGAGGTGCCGGCTTCACTTAACCCAAAAAAGGCGCGTGAGGTGCTGATGGAATGGAGCCATTCTGATTTAAAGTTGACAGAAGATACGCCAGACTAGGCAAAGCTGAATTTGGACGACTTGGAAGAGAATTTATTGGCGGTAATGGGCGATTTGAATTGGAATTCGATGCTGGTATGGAATTATTTTCTGCGTTGCTTGACAATTGTGGTGGCGTTGGAAATTCCTGAGGTCGGCTGGAAATTTGTGGCGGTGTTGGAAAACTTTCAATGGAACTTGGTGTTTGGGGAGCTTGTGGTGATTGTGCCAGTATAGAGTTGGACTCACCAGCTGGATACGATACGCTCTGGCTATTAGGGATGGGCAACACAGGCTGAACAGCCGCGCTTATCGATGCGCTTGGTGGTCTCGGACGATTTTGATTCGTAGGCAATGGAGGAGACAATGCTTGATTGTTGTTAGTATTAACAGCTTCAAAATCAATTGGAATTAGTGGCCCCTCTTGGCTGCCTTGAGTTAGATTTTCAACAAATGGAGGTTCGACTGGAAAATCTAGAACTGAGCCAACACTACTTTCATTTGGCGGTTGCGCAACGACAAACTGTGACTCGGTATCTGTGTTAACGGGAGAATTTACTTCGAACTCTGCTGGGGTGTTTGCTGCTTCCACGGAGTTCGGAGTGTTGCCAGTTACACCTACATTGCTGTCATTATTTTTATTTTTGTTGGTAAGAAGCCGTGAAAGAAGGTCCCTTATGGCGACATAGGAAGCGAAGTCAAGCTTTGGATATTCCAATTCATTAGCACTACTCGCTGCTGACGAACCCAATCGGTAGCATTCTGCTAAGCAGATGCTGCTTAATACAAACAAAAGCGAAACCTTCATGTTAGACCACGCCAGCTACCCGTTGCAATGCACTAAGCGATACTGACTCTAAACAGGCATTCGCTGATCTTTTAAATATCTGTGGGTAAATAGTTGATTAGACATGTTATAGCAGACAATTACCAATAATCAGTGGCACATTACAAGTCTTTAAATTTTACATATATTCATAGATACGAAAGAGCACACCAATTTCCGGTGATAAGATAACAATTTTGACACCTTTTTTTTGTATTTATACTTTGCAACTGTTCTTCGCGTTCATTAGTCACACGGAAAAGTGTTGTTCTTTGAAAACATTGTACTTTTTTTGCAAACGTACCAAATAAAAAACTTACATTTCTTAATTTAAATTTATTGTGCTCCAAAATGTTCTCTTTTTCTAAACCAAACCTTTTCTCTTCTCCACTCATTCTTCCAGGTGAATTCGATATGCGCGTCAAGTCGTGTGTCGCTTCTGATGGTTCCGGTCATGTTATCAATCTCTCCGATGAATTCGGCTGCGTACTACGCCCGAAAATGATCTCACGCTTTCTGAAGGCGCGCGCGCCCGATGAGCGCGCCACCGTCATAACCTATGCCTTCTTCCATGCCTTCAAATTCCCCGATGCGCTGAGTGTGCACATTAAATGCAAGGTAGAAATTTGCCGCCATGGCTGTCTGGATCACTGTCAGCTCACCGGCAGCGTTAACGAGCGCAAGGATGTGCTTATGAACGACGCTTTGGGTAACCAGAACGAACTAAGTCAAGAGATGGGACATGGCATACATGGCGACGAACAACAACCGGCACTGGGCGGCATGCCTTTGGGTGGTGGCGGTGGCGGTGGCGGTGGTGGCGTTGGTGTTGGTATGGGCGGTGATGGCGCAATCGATCACGATATCTTCTACGATGACATCATACACAATCGCAAACAGCTGTCATCGATCAACAGCGGCATTGCCAACATACTCGATCAGTTTAATTTGCATGAAAAGAATGCCAATGCCAATCTCTCGCCGCGTCCGGTACACGAAGAGCCTGAAGATTCCGATCTTGATTCGCTGTTCGGCGAAGACGAATTAGCCGATTTGGATGAAGCTCAATATATGGAATTGAAGAAGAGCGGCAAATTCCCACATGGACCACGTCAATTGGAGGCGCAAAAGCGCATGGGTGTGCCCATGGCCGGACCACGTTCGCTAGAACCCAAATCAAATGATGATGCAGCACATCCCATTTACCGTCCTCAAGCGGAAGCACTGAAGCGGCCACGCGAAGATCACATTGACCTCGATGACGAAAACGATGAGCTGCTCAAGCATAAGTCGAATCACACTGAGCAAGGTAGTGACGAAACGAAGTCGACACGTCGTCGACGACGATCGATCGTCATTTCCGATCGTAAGGTGCGCAGCGCGGATGTTGGTGTTAGCGGTCTGTACGATGTCATCTCGGAAGCTGATCTTGCCTTCTCGCCAGACTCGAAACAGGAAGCGGTCACCGTATTTCAGGGCAAAATAAGTGAGGAGGTTGTCTATGGCATTTGCATGCCGGTGCCTGGCTTCAGCATACTCTTCATTGTCGTCATTTCGGCAACAATTGTATCTGCGCTAATCGCCGGTTCATTGCTCTATCGTTATCAGCTGCAAAAGGAGGCGCTCGAAAAGCAAACTCCAATACCGGCGCCTGGTACATTCGCCTCTTGGATGACTCTACGACTTTTCCGTATGCGACATTTGCAGGAACAACACGAACGACAGCAAATTAGTGCTGGCACAGTTGGGGCGGCAGCAGCAGCAGCGGGGACGGTAGCGGTGGCGCACGAAACCGTGCAGTAGAGAGTGCGATGTAGCGAAATTGTCGGAGTAGCGAAAAGTATTGGGAAAGAGTCTTAATAAGGTCAATTAGACTTTTATTACAGAAGTTCTTATACAAAATTCAAAATTAGGGCTACGCAAATATTTACAAAATACATAGATATGCGCTGATGGCCGTTTCCGGATCAATGCGTCAACTTTGACTGAAAGAAAACCCACGAAGAAAAAAGCGGAGAAAAGCTCAAAGACAGACGCCTATATTGAATACTATTTGTATTGTTTGTTTTTTTTTTTAACTTTTTTTTTGCTTTTTTTTTTGTTCTACTTGGTTATAGACGAAGTTAATGTTGTTAAGAAACATTTTCGGGCAGCACTGCAATAGCAAATCACTGAACTACTATTTACATAGTAGATACATACATACATACATACGCTCCTTAAGTACACTCTTTATTAAACACGTTCTACAAATATTCGATTAATTCAGCTTCTACTTGCTCGCACTTCCTTTTTTCCAATACAGATAGTAAGTGCATACATAATTCGGTGCTCTTAGGTGCATTTACTTTCCTTCTTAGTATAAAACTATTATTTGTTAAATAATAAAAAAAAAACTTAAACCAATTCTTATATAATTCTAAAAAAACATGCTTATACACATATGTATGTATTTATTTTAGCACTATTTATTGTATTTATTTATATATGCTTATTTCCTATATAGATCTTCACATTCTATAAAGAACATAAATCTTCTTTAATGAATATTTCTAAGCTGATTAATAATTGTAAGCACATAATTCTAAAACTTTTGCAATTTAAGAAATTTGAATGCAATATTTTTTTTGTTAACTTCAAAATCTTAATTTAGGTTAGCATCTAAAGGCAAATGAAGAGTGTGAATTTAAAGTCAAAATTTAGTTTGTTTTCATCTTTTGTTTAATCGACACTAATGAAAGTTCAACACACATGAAAATTTAAATTAACACATAAGTCAGTTTATATTATTTATTTAAAATTATTTTAGTTATAATTGAATACTATGATTATGACGAGAATGAACAAAATAATAAAATTAAGTTATAAATAAAATAAAAATGATTAAAAAAAAAAACAGCCATGACTTTTGAAATGACAAAAAAAATTCTAAACTTAATATTGGGTCGTAGATTATGGATCTGTATACCGTTTTTCCAGAGGAGGTCATTTTCTTCAAGATATCTCCATTTTTATGAAGAAAAAATTTTAACTTTAACATGGACAAAATTAAAAAAAATAACAAATCTCTTGTATTTTTTTTATTTGTATTAAAAGCTGTGCTATTACAAAAAAATCAAGCTACTAACAATGAAAAATCGATGGATAAATAAACTAGTATTGAATGGTCAAAATAAAATGTGCAATAATTTTTTATGAAATACGAGCAAGATATACATATATATGTTGATCATACGCCATACCGTATATGGCCCTACTCGTCAGTGGTGCCACTAGAGAATATTATTAGATACCAAAACGCCTACCAAATCAGTTTTCAAACTACCAAAAAAATTTTTTATTGAATTTACGGGTTTAAATTTAAAGCAATTTTTCTTTAAATTTTTCGCCCAATTTCGGCAGCTGATGGATCGCAGCTTTGAGAAGTGGGTTTATGTTTGCAGAAAATTGTTTGTGTTAAGATTGAACCAGGAGCTTAACAAGGATTTTAGGTGAGCATTGATGAAAACACGTTCTACGTCGAGGAAAGCAACTAGCATTTTTCTTTTCGCCCTCCGATGCAATTTTACAGTATCGACGGCAGCGGGCACGGTCCTGTTATTGCGAATGGTTTGTACCAGTATTGCCATTTTGGTTCGTTTGCAGCTAGATTTGGCTCTTTTTATTTTAAATTGCCCCAGAAATTTGCTTTTAGCTCCCAACTCTTGTTTAGCCCACATAAATTTTAAACAGCCCTACGAGGCTCCAAAATTCTTAACTTAATTTTAAACATTAAGTTTAAACATTTCTGCTGTTTGTTTGGAAAAACGGATTTTCAAATGAAAGAGTGTCAGTAGCAAAAATTGAAATTGGCCGCTTTTATTAAATTTGTAGAAAACTTAACATTTTCTATCCGATTTGGCTGTTCTAATGCTTCATATTTCCGTTATAAAATTGTCCTTCGTCCTAGCTTTTTTAGTAATTTTTTTTTTTTAAAGTTTATCAACTAAAAGGAAGGAATAAAAATGATTCATTTTCGAAAAAAAACTGGAAAATTTCCTTATCTTCCGAATTTATACGCCTGGAACTAAAAAAGTTATATTCCAATGACACAAAAAGTATATCAATGCAATGAGGCTAAGGGCCGGTTACTCAATGTCTGGTTAACACTAATCTCCGGTAAAACATCGTTATCGACGTTACCGACTCCATGTTATATGCATGGAGCCGAACACGTCGATAATGATGTTTAAACGGAGATTAGTGTTAACCAGACATTGAGTAACCGGCCCTAAATGTATCTTTCGAAAGGTATGCAAAGATGATTAGTTGTATTCGCTTTTCTAGAATTTTTTTTGGCAATAACTGCAAAAGCCCAAGAAAACACTTTATTTTGATGTTAAGCGACCTAAAATCTTTTTGCGAAGTCCTTTTTTCGTGTAAACTAGTGTAATTAATTAACTCGTAATATATCTGCATATTTTTTGTTTTCTTTTTTCCAGTATCAAGCTCAGAATGTTTGTTTGGAATGAAAACTGTATGTGACTGTGTACCTAAATAAATAAAATTTCGGAAATTCGTTCTAAAATAAACAAAAAAAGGTTTAATTGAAGAATCACGAAACTAGCTCTTATTTTAGCTCCAATTTTTTTATTTAGCCCTTTCTTACACTCTTTTCTGGAGATTCTGGCCCTAAATGAAAAGTTTCTGGCAACACTGGTCTGTACATGTTGCATTACATGCCAAGCCTAAATTCATACTACGTTTTTTGGTAAGTATGAAGTGTTGAACCATCATGGTAGCAGTTATGATCCTAAAACCATACTACATTCTACCATTATACCCGGGCACTGCATTATCGATGTACATATTTGCTGTTAGCTGCAAAGCAGTGCAGTTACCTCTCGAACCGAACGACCATCCCTTGGCATTCAATACAATACAACAACAATACAACAATTAAACAGCGACGGAACCCAGTGGGAAAGTAGTAATGCATTACACGCGTGATAAATAATGTATTGCATATCTTAAAAGTTTTATAGTCCATTACTGATTAATACAACATTCTAATGTATCCATAATGTCAAAAAAAAAATCATACTAAATCCCATACATTACTACTTTTCGTAGGACATCGCCATGGGTAAAACAATGCGTTTTCGAATGAGAAACCAGCTGTTTTACTGATTATTTTTTCGATTACCATACATAACATGTTCCCACTAGGAAATTTGGCAGGTGAGAGAATTATAATTTGCTCTTTTTGTTTACGATGATACACAGTAAAAACGGCAACAATCAATATTGTTTTATATTCTTCTTAAAAAACCATCTTTCAAACCACCCTGTATATACGCAGTGCGCGCTTTCTGGGGAGCAACACCTTTTCGGGCAATATTAGTAAGTACGGATTCCCTAAGCTCGCCCAGGCTGGACAGCTGAGTAGCAGATGTCACGATGAGACAATGTAATGCCTTAACGGAGAAATTTCGATCGGACAATGCTTAGAAAACTCTGTTACTAAATTTGAAATTGATGCAGAGTTCCAAGCTGAAATCATCTCGACTTACCTTTTCGCCCGGGTTAGATCCTTCCGTAGGTCAGGATTTCAGATAACATACCCCGCCAAGTCCACCCTGTATGGGTTGTGGCAGGTGAGGGCGCCACTCGGACGCAGAACCAATATGAAGTGTAGAGCTGGAAAACTATCGATGGCACTATCGATAGTATCGATGGTTTTTGACTATCGAGAACATCGATGGTTTTGTAAGCACTATCGATAGTTTTCACTCATACATACATTATTCAGTAAGAGTAAATGCCGGCGGTACCTACTTTATCTTTTGATGTCTGAAAGGACATTTAGCAAAGCAGGATAATACTATCGATAGTGTCGACATTTTCGATAGTATCGATACTATCGATGGTTGTGACTATCGATTATCAAAACTATCGATGGCCACGACTATCGATAGTTTTCCAGCTTTAATGGAGTGATTCAGCCAGGAAGCTTCTTAGAAATTGGTTTTCAAATAATTCCTGATGTCAGCCCAGTTTTCAACCAATTTCAAGTTTACCTGCATCAGTCAATATAGCTTGCCTAAGCATTGTTCTCATACTACATATAAGTACTACGTCGGCAGCATAGGAATCTTTCCTCTAAATTCTCCAGCAGAAGCGCTGCCCTGTTCTGACGCAACAGTTATGTTATTACGATAAATAAACGTTACAGAGTCGACTTCGATAACCAATTTAATTACAATCTACAGCAAGGAAGGCAATATCGGCGGTATCCGTTTGCGAGAATGACTACTCATTAATCTCGCTGAATTCATAACAAACGTTTCTTAAGTGCATATATGTCAGTACCTCAAGCGTCTTTAAGAAAACGAGAGTAAAATGATTGGTCGAAATCCCTCGGGGATACGTGTGAGGCTTTGCCCGCCTTGGGTACGAATATATTTTTGCTCGAACCCCAAGGCTTTTGGAAATAAAGCGCTTAAGTGCCTAAGCAGGTCGCCTTTATCAGTCGAAAACTCAAAGGGGCGGGGGATCTGAATCACTCTTTTACACGTTTGGCTGAAGCTTCGCCTTCAAGAGACCTATTTCTGTGGAATGAGTCGATGAGAACCTCCCTTCCTGGCGCTCTCCGAGCCGCCGTTTAGCATCTCTCGAGGCCACATAGGAGTATCGGCGTGCTTTAGAATTTTAGTAGCTATTTTCTTTAACTCTCAAAGGCTTTTGGATTTCTTGTGGCGCCAACCAATAAAAATACTTTAAACTTAATTATTTTTTATAAGGCAAATATTTATTGAAGTTCTCTCGAGATTATAAATAAATAAGAAAATAAAAAACCGAATTTATGATAAACATTGTAAATTCAAGATTGCATCATAATGGACTTGCATTAATATAAATAAATAAATAAATTACTCAATTAAATAAGTTAATAAATAATTTAAAAATAAATTAACTAGTCGTTGTGGATAAATAACGTTTGCATAGGGTTTTCAGTCAAAGAAATTACTGCGAAGAAATAGAAAGTTTATTGTAGTTAAAATATATTTATGTGTTCGTAAATATAATTTAATATTTATTTTATTTATAGCCTATTTTATTTGATTTAATTGTGGTTTCATTTTGCTTTATGTACTTTACTGAGTTATATAATTTTAACTTTTCTACAACTAATGAACGCACTTAAAATATTTAGTGACTACTTCAAGCATCAAATTATTACATATAACTCTTTTTTTTTTTGCTTTGTATTTGTGTTTTGTGTGATTTTTAGTTTTAATTGTTTGTATGTACTTGTATTTTGTGCTTTTGCTTATCTATTTTCTAAAGTCTACAAAATTGTTTAATACATTTTAAATTTTATAGTAAAAAGTAGACAAAGTAAAGCGTTGTATAAAAGAGGTAAATGGCGTTGTACGAGTGCTGAATTAAAAATTACCAATTTTTTTGATTTCTTAAAATGTTTAGTTTTTCAAATTAGCAAAAAATGGCGCGCTGAGTACAAAAAAAAATATCACCATGTGCTACTGTTATGCATTCGAATGATTAGAAACAGATTACTGAGCATTTCATTTCCATTGTTAAAAATGTGCGGAATTACTAAAACTTCAAGCTGAATTTACGTAAAACAAGAAAAATTTGAATTTGTCGCTTTATTTAGTGAAAAGTCTATATTTTTAACACAAAAAGGGTACTGAATACAAAAACAATCCACTCAAATTATTTGAAACGGCCTGTGCATTTAATTTCTATCGTTAAAAATGAGCTGAATTACTAAAACTTCGAGCTGAATTAACCCAAAACAAGAAAAAATTTACTTCAATCGCTTTATTTAGTGAAAAGAATACAGATTTAAAACAAAAAGGTGCGCTGAATATAAAAAAAAAACACTCAAATGGTTAAAAACTGGCTGCGAGTTTGATTACTATCGTTAAAAAAACACTGAATTACTTAAACTTGGAGCTAAATTGCTCTAAACCCACTTACAATTTTTATTTTGTGGAAAATATATATTTTGCAATGCGCTGAAATTCGTAAATCCGAGCTGAATTAAGTTAAAATATGTAGCAATTCTTGTTTGGCTTTTGATCAAATGAAAACTGTTCATGTATTTGCTGCGTGTCGTCAAAAGTGTTCTGAGTTACTCAGCCTGAGTAACACTAATTGCTGTTCTTATAAGCGCGCTGAATAGCACAAACATCCAGGTCGCAAATTGGAGCTGAATTAGACAAAGCTGTTTGATACAAAAATTTGCATTGAATTATTCGCTTACTGCCTCTTACTCGGCACGTGTATTGAAAAAAATTTGGCCAATTTCACATAGACAAGAAAAAAAATCGAGCTAAATTCAAATAGGTAAGGCGAACATACTCCTAAAGTAGCTGAATAAACATTTTAAGAAATTTAATTTAACTGAACACTTTTACTTCATTTTAAATAAAGCTGTATAGAAATTCTTTTAAAAAAGAGGCTTCCTAGAGAGTCGAATACATTTTTATAAAACTGAATGATATAAGTTTGAGCCGTAATCGTTTCTAATACCGCATAAGTCTGTGTTGAATTCATTTTAACAAGCTGAATTGGTTACTTGAGCCGAAGTCGCATTTAACACCAGCATAAATATGTGCTGAATTCATTTTAACAAGCTGAATTCGCGCTGAATTGAATAATATTTTATATGAAAATATAAGTTCATTGAATATTAACTGATTTAAATACATACGTACATAATATTAAGCTGAACTCGATATCACTGACATACCTATTGTTGGAAATTTATTTTGCGGCATTAAATCAAGCCGCAGACAGCTCTTCGTCGATAAAGCCTTTGTACAAAAGTCGCTTGGCTTCATTTGAACTTTGAATATGGCTTAGCACCGGGTTTTACTGCATATATCTTCAAATTTTTTTCGTATACATATATATGTTTGTATTTAAGGATCAAACTACATTTGTATGTATAAACTTAAAAACTAGTCTTCATTTATATATTTAAATTTTATTAAAATTGTAAGCGCTAAACTGCCACCAATACAGAAGGCCCAAACAGACTCGAAAGGCTCGTCGAAAAGTTCTCAATTTTAACCACAAATTAGTATGTAATCTGGTTCTGTGCTTTTGAACTGTCGAATAATAATTAATACATTACTTTGTAAAAGCAAAGAAATACAAATAGCTACAAGCTAAAATTACACTACTACATACATACGTACATGTCAATGCATGTAATCTTTAGACCCTACGCTCATAACTTAACTATGTAAATAAACACCCGCCTCGAGAGCGATTGCAAACAAGAGAAGACTATTGTGATTGTGTTGTATGGTGACAACGTTAGTACCCATCCAATGCAGCGGACAATCAGTTCGCATCGGATCGGTGAGGTTGCTGAATGTAGTACGCGCGACCTGCAGCTACATATTCATACATACATACATACTATAAAAGAAATCTCGGCATACCGAGTCCAATTCGTAATCGTCATAATGTTTATATTCTCCGTTTCAATGTTCATGTGTGCGTTCGGGTTTTGGTGAGTGTACCAGTGTGGGCAACAGTTGGCGGTGGTCCTGGTATTTGAATGACCGGCAATGCACCAGTCAATTGCGGATTTGTGTAGGCCACCGCACGTTCCTTCTCCGAATGGCTGAATGTGGAGAATGGCCGCAAGCGCACATACAGCACAGCTGATATTAGACAGGATGTTATTAGAATACCGAGCAGTATGATCAGTGTGATCGCGAAACCGGGTGTCGTCATGCAGATGAGTCCATCTTCGCGCGCTGGAAACACCATCGTTTGAGGTGTGGCCGCTGATGTGCCGTTCATCTGATCGTCAATGGCGAAGGTGAGGTCACCCGACGAGACGACTTTGATAATACGATTAAGTCCAACTTCCTGCTCTGGATCGACGGCACGCGTACGACGTTGGACGCGTCGCTCGTCACGTCGCTTGCCAATGCCGCTGCTCACATGGTAGGTGTCAACGTGCAATTGCGGTGGTGGTGGTCCATATTGCGACTCCGGACCAACTTGTAAGTGATGAACTTCTTGCAAATTGGGATCAGAGCATTGATCGGGACACTGATAACGACAGATTTGTATTGTGCACTGGAAATGCACTTCCATTGAATCGGGGAACTTGAATGCTTGGAAGTGCGCGTACGAGAGCACCGAAGCGGAGGCTCCGAAATTTTTGATTTTCGTAAATCGTGACATAAGCTTTGGTCGTGTAACGCAACCGCGTTGATCTACCAATTGTATGGGTGCACGCTTGCCATCGTGCGCTACACAGTTACGTACAAGCATATCGAACTTAGAGTCATCGTCCTTGATAGCCAACACCATTGTCATCGTTTGGCCGATCTTCACCAATCCAGACACCTCGGAAGCCCATGGTCCCTTGCCAACCTGTATCTGCATCCAACAACCCACATTGTCACCTGCAAAGTCTGCGCGCACCACATCCAACATATCGACGGGGAACGGGCGGAATGTTACGCTTTTCTCGTATTGATCGTGCCAAGTGCAACGTAACTTGCGCGCTTGATCCCACACCTCCTGCACTTGTGGATCATACTGTATGACGATGATATTTTCGAAATAGGTGCCCGAACCCGACTCATGCCCATAGCCATACAAGCCGTTCTCTGTGTTGCCCGAAGTGCCGCACTCATGCAGTCCAATATCGAATGTGGCCGATGTGCGTCCCAATCCAGAGGGTAAATGCACGCAATTCATGTTGCTGTAGTGTCCCTTCGAGAAAACGATGCCGTAGAAAGGTTTATCGAATTTCACAAAAACTTTCATGCCGTTCTTTTCGCACTTCACATCCAACGAGATAATCTTTGGCATATCCTGCACTGGTGAAGACCAAATTTCGTTGTTGCTCGAGGCGCCAACACTCAAATCGGGCAGCACTTGTGGCGCATGCACTTGCTGTGGCGGTGGCCGCTGTGGTGGTAATGGCGGCGGTGGACCCTGGTAGGCTAGTTGAGCGGGTGGTGGTGGTGGACCGAAGGGTTGTCCAAGACTCAAGGGAATGCTCTGATGGTTGCCTAATGTGGAGGAGAGGGAAACATATAATAAATTAGATTGCATAGTTTTTATGAGATTGGCGGTAATTTACTTCGGGCCGGTCCCGGTTGCTGCTGCTGTATGTTGTGCTGGTAAAGCACTTTTGGCGGCTGTTGTGGTTCCGATTCCGATTCCAACGCCACCTGATCAACTTCATTGTCATGTTCGGATATCTCTTCTGTGCCACTGATGGCTTTGACAACGTCAACATCATCTGCAAGCGCAATCTGTAAATAAATGGAACGAAAGTTTTTGAAAAATGCTTTAGACAACTTTAAATCGAATGTGAATAGCTCCCAAGAAGTTTTGATGCTCAATATGCATGTATGTATTTATCTTATTAGCCCAAATCTAAACGGACAGTCTGATCCTCACTAAATGCCACTAAAAACTTCAGAAGACCTTTAGAGAGTAAGGAGTGAATGTGCTTGCAATGCAACCATGTGTCCAGGGTATATAACATCTCGGAAATAGACCTAACGCGACCTGGAAACATAATTTCGGCTGTAAGATATAATTTTTCCTCGGCCAAAACCCTCTTTAGCGAAATTAAGTACAGTTCGCTTGGCCACCTGTTCTATGATTTAGGGCCGGTTGCTCAAAGTCTGGTTGACAATAATCATCGGCTAACATCGTTATCAACGTTTTCGACTCCATGCATATAACATGGTATCGGTAATGGCGATAACGTTATTTAACCGGGGATTAGTTTCAACCAGACTTTGAGCAACCGGCACTAAGTGTATATGTTGAGGCTCTAAAACTACTTCTAATTCATTATTCATAATGCTTTGTGAACGTCCTGGCTTGAGGCCCAAGTACCGCCGCATGGTAACCATAGTTTGGACAATTACATAGACAAAGACCAACACAAGAATGAAAGTAAAGGTGAGCATGAACATAGATAAAGAAAGGATAAAGGCAAAGGTAAAAATAAAAACAAAAACAAAGATGCGTAAAGATAAAGTCAAAAATGAGGATCAAGGTAAATTTAAACACTTTTCTTATATAAGGGCAAAGGTGAAGGTGAATACATACGTAGATGAAGAAAATGATAAACATAAAGTAAAAACAAATATAAATAAAATAAAAAAGATGAGAATGAGGATACCGATAACAGTAAAGATGACGATAGAGGAAGAAAGATTAAAATAAAGGTAATTATAGAGAAAAGGATATAGCTGGAGACACAGAGACTCAATCTGTGAACTTTTTTGGGAGTTTAGAGATTTTCGGGATTCTCGGGACTTATCGATAAAATAAACGATATTTTTATCAGTTTTTCCATCGATATCTTTATCGATTTTGTTATCGAAATTTTTATCGACATTGTTATCAATTTAGCTATCGATATCTTCGGAACTTATTGGTATAATAATCGATATTTTTATCGATTTGACCATCGATTTTGTAATCGATATTTTTAACGATTTTGAAATCGATTTTCTTATCGGTATTATTATTGGTTTTGTTATAGATTTTATTATCGATATTTTTATCGATTATTTATCGATTTTGCTATCGATTTTTTTGCGAATATTTTTATCGATATTTTTATCGATTTTGCTATCGATTTTTTACGAATATTTTTATCGATATTTTTATCGATTTTCTAAGAGATTTTTGTTATCGCTTATTTATAGATTTTGTTATCGATATTCTTATTGATTTTATTATCAATATTTTTATTGATTTTGCTATCGAAAATTTTTTTCGAATTTGCCATCGATTTTTTTATCGATATTTTTATCGGTTTTATTATAGATATTTTGTTGGGTTTGCTATCGACTTTGTATCGATAGAGTATAAAGATAAAAATGAAGATAAAGGAAAACAGAATAACATAAATGTAATTAGAATGAATTGGGGTAGAGGTAGTGATCTAGATAGAAAAAAGACAAAAAATATAACCTTAAGCAAAACCAGATATATGTATGTATGTACATATATTGATTATGAGACAAAATAGATATGTAACGTAAGTTTCACTTCTCCAGGCCCACTTACTTTTTTTATTATTATTATTAAGTAGTCTGCAAGATCTAGACTTAGTTCAGTTTCCGTTCATCGCAGCATTCCCGGAAACGAGGCTGCAGACGAGTTAGCCAGAGAGGATTCCACATTAGCTTCGAACGAGGATCGGTTCTAACCCCAATTGGAACTATATATAAATACTTCTTTCTCTACAATCTTCAGAAATCGACTCATGATGGCAGGTATTGGCATACTGGAGCCCACGCCTGAAGGCTGGGCATAGCAGAAACGAAAATAAACAGGAAACTGTAGAGTACCTTTTTTTTGGAGATGACCAGCTTTAATGAGGAGCCTCCATAACGTAGTATGTGCACAACTTTAACAACCACTAGGTTTACGATGTCAAAATGGTACTTATCTGCTACGTGGACGTAAACTCTAATCTAACTTAAACTTGTCGCGTGCCGTCAGTTTATATTTACATACATATGTGTTATACACATTCTAGTTTAATGGAAATCAAATATGTATGTGAAAAATTTAATCGCAATCAATCAATCTATCAATCAATTAATCATTACTCCAAGCAACAACAAACGATAAAACCGCAAACTTCCAACGGTTCTTAAACGCCCCAATTAATATCTAGTGTTAAGCATACGGCAGTAAACGCCTTTTCATCAATGTACGGGATGTGATGTTGCACGATTTGTAGAACACAAGAAAAAGGCCAACCAATTTCACTTTTTTCACTACACACACACACACACACCAACGAACAGACGATGATGACACCTGTTCCCAAGTAAGTAGTAGACGATCCAGCACATGCTGACAGACGCTACATTTGTATGTAGTTAGTATTTAGATTCTGGCCAAAGCGCAAATTGAGTTCAAGGCTAGAAAATGTGTCATTGCTTGCTGGTACTTGGCAAAAAAGCAAAAAACTTTCAACGACGTACCATAAAACAGTCAAATGTGTAAAATGTGCCAGCAACTGGTTGGCGTGCAATTCTATTTCTGGGTTTGTTGACCACTTTTTGCTTGCCTTTTCCACCTTTTTTCTTTATATATTTTTTTTTGTTTGTACTGCAACATAATTTTTTTTCATTTCCATGCATTTGCTGCTTTCCTGGCTTCCCGGTGATAGTTGTTGGCAGATTTTCTTTTACTTTAATGGTGACAATTTATCTACGAGTGAAACTAGTTAATGACAACGGCGCTGCGGCAGCAATCCATCATTCGCATCAATATTCAACTTAAGTATGTATATGAGTTTATTAAGTTATGGTGCGTAGAGTAACATCAATATCACCACCACACTTTAGCTAAGAAAAACTGCATGTGTAAGTACTGCATAAGTTTGCATGAATAGAGGAAAGCACGGAAGCTGCTCGCTCGTAGTGCATCACACGCAGCAATGTTGCACAGGCGTCGCGTAGCATTGCTCATTACCGGAGCTACAATTTAATGGATATGTCGGCCACAACATTTGCCCCATTCGCGTGCAAGTGCATGTATGTATACACAATTGGCCATGGCGATGGAGACTGTTTTCATTACCAACCGTTGGAGAAAATTGCCGTCTGCTCTGAACGACGCGACTGCGAGACTGGAGGTAACAATTATGCCGTTTGTGGCTCGTTTACTGCAAAAAAAAAAAAAAAAAAGACAGCACAACTTAAGTACAGGCAGTCTTTTAGTTGTCTGCGCATGTGCAGCTTGCACGACACCACTGCATCACTTGGTCATCAACGCAACAAGACACAAGCGATACACAACGTTCAGTTTTCTTGTTGTTGGTGGACGTCGAGTGCTTTAAGCGCAACGAATGTATGAATGTATTTGGATTGACACAGAGCTTTCCATGAAAAATCAGCTGAAAAATACTTAGCTGACATTTATGTTGTTGTTGTTTTTGTGTTCTCTTTTTCTTTTGTGCTTTCTACTACCGGCCAAGAAAAGTAATATTGACAATGACAACTCTACAGCTACTTGTACAAATACGTGTAATACGCACGTTGAGGAACGTCAATGCGTGTGGTGCATCCATTCCAACTGCTCGTTGTTGAAGTGAGCCAGCGGGCTGTCATTAATGAAAACGGAACTGCTGTAGCTTGTGTCTTCTTATAAGGCAATGGAAATTAAAATCCGTTTTCTTTTACTCTGAGTATAGTGGCAACGTTCCTTTTCTTGAATGTCGTTATCCGAGTTTAAAACCATCGACTCTAGACGAAGAGTTTCAGCTGCCTCGAAAGATTTATCCCACGCTGGTGCAATTTAGGGTTGTAGCAAGTTAAACTTCTAACTTTCTAGGCTTGACCTTGAAATATCCAAGAAAAATACGTCCGTCTTGTGACGAAATTATACTAGCTATCCATTCACCTGTTCTCTAAAAGTCACTCACCTAACAGCCCGGGTTAGCTTTTCCGTGTTGCTAGACACAATCGAAATAGTTTGCTGCTTGACCTAAGAATATAAAGACCTAGAATTCTACCGCGTCTCATAGCAATAGCATCGCCTTCGAATAGAAGATACAAAAGAGTCTTTTTGGCCGTATTCCAAATACAAAGGAAATGAACGTTCACTCTTTAGCGTACTATAAAAATGCATTTTAGAGATCGATTAGAAATTGGAATTCCTGTCCCAGTCCTGTTGGGCGACGCTAGTACTTTTCTCTTGTCGCCCTACTTGCCCTGCCGAGGTGTTCTGTGGCTGATGCCCGATTAGGGTTGTGGCCAACGTCTCTCCGCCTGGTCTGTCCGCTAACTAGTTTCGTTTTATACCCTTGTGACCTCGTACCCATATTAGCTTGAAATTGGAAAGTGAATATATTTTGATGTAATGTGGAACGATTTTCCGTCATCCCTTGTCAAATTTTTTCGGAAAATGACACTGAAGATGGCACAACGCCGAAACCGGTTTGTCTCCAAACCAAATTTGACAAGGGATGACGGAAAATCGTTCCACATTACATCACACTCCTACCCTGTCGGAAATACCAACAACAAAGATGTGAATATATTTTCCCTATATACTTAGTCGAATGATGATGTGACTTCTTAAAATTAAAACAATTAATTTAAAAAAAAATTAATTTTATTAGTGGTTAAAAGTCGACCCGGCACCATCTAATGGCTGAAGTTTTTGTGGAATTATTTCTTTCCATTTAAGTAATATGAACCATATCGGACCATAAATATGGATTTTTTTTGCGAATTAATTCCTGTTTCATACTGCATTGTTATCGGGT